GTAATAATAACAGTAATAATTTAACAATATGGGGTCATTGTGCAGATAACAGTTTTAATTGCAATTTTGCTTTAAATAAATTGCAGGACAGAGAATAATCAATAACGTTCTGCTTATTAATACATGAAACTATATTATAACTAAAAGAGCGTTTAAAAATTTGCTTGCGATGATAAGGTATGTTTAATATATGTTTTCTGCGAATGTTTAAATTATGAACGTCGGTCCTGAATTTTATTTTCCTATATAAATATGGAGGGGCTTTAAATTTCAAAATCTTGTAACAGAAACAGGTTAGATGCAAGCATCTTCTATTGTACATATTGAGCCAAGATAATTCCTTTAGTTTGTGTGAAATTCTTTGTGTGCGTCTGATTCCAAATATAAATCTAAGACACGAGTTTTGCAATTTTTGTAAACGTTTAGAATCGACATTATCCAAGCACGGACCATACACATTATCGCAGTAATTACATATGGATAGAATCAGGGAATCACATAACGTTTTTTTTATATCTCTGTTCAGATAGTGTCTGTGCGAATATATCATTTTCAACACAGAATATGCTTTCGCAAGTATACTAGTTACATGCTCTTTAAATCTAAGATTATAATCAATAACAAGACCTAAATTTTTTGCCGAATCTTTAAACTCTATATTGTCATCATTAATTTTTATCATCAGTCTGTCCAATAAGTTAGCTCTAATATTGTTACCACAGAAAAGCAAAGCAGCAGATTTCTTTGGGTTTATTTTTAACAAATGATTTTTAGACGCAGATGCTAAGTTACATAAATCATTATTAATCTTAAAGTTAGCATGGACTACTTCAGAGGGATTAAAAGAATAGTAAAGCTGTGTATCATCCGCATACATATGATATTTACAATAAACCAGCGATTTAATAACATTTAGTGTGTAGATAGAATACAGCAACGGCCCTAATATACTTCCCTGTGGCACACCAGACAGCATGATAAGAGGTTGTGAAAACTTATTGTCGAGTGACACTCGCTGCTTCCTATCACAAAGAAATGAGGTTATTAGCGATGATGCGGTATTCGTAAAACCTATATAATGAAGAATTGATTTGAGTATATCGTAATTAAGAGTGTCAAACGCCTTACTATAATCTAACAAGACCAGTACCATAGCTTCACTATTATCTCTTGACTTAAAAATATCATCTGTCAAATCAGAAAGAGCAGTTGAACAGCTATATCCACGCCTAAAACCAGATTGTTTTTCCGGAAGGACATTGTTGGCATTTAGAAATGCAGTAATTTGCATTTCCATAACTTTTTCAAGAATCTTGCTCAATGCGGGTAAAATTGAGATCGATCGAAGATGGGTAGGCTCTGTTGGATTGTTAACCTTAGGAAGAGGAATGACGTTTGCACATTTCCAGGATTTAGGAAAGTAAGACTGATCTATACATGTATTTATAATATGCGTAATAAAAGGAATAATATACGGGCAACATATAAGTATAAGTGTTATATTTAAATTATCACATCCAAATGCTTTAGATTTCATATTTTTAATTATATGCATTATCAAATTATCAGTTATAGTGTCAAAATTAAACGAATTATCAACTATTTTATTATTTTTATAAAAATTTATCAGTTCAACATCAGGCGCAACAGTATTGCATGATGATTCAATGAAATATTTATTTAACTTATCAACATCCCTTAAATTTTCAGGTATATTTATATCTTTTGCATATATTTAATCTTTTCAATTCATCCCATTTATTTTTAGCATTAGAGTTTTGAAATTTGTAAGGTATGCTCTTATTTTCGGCCCTGATGGCACAAGTTGTTAAATTTCTATACTGTTTATAAGAGGCCCAATCTTCAGGAGATCTGGATAGTCGATACTTTTTAAAGGCCTTATTACGTAAATTTTGCATTAACTTGATGTTATCAGTGAGCCACGGGCAATAAGTATTCTTGCGAGATTTAGTAACTTGCAAGGAAGCATGCTTGTCAAATAAGTTAATTATATTTGTAGTTAAAAACTCAACTTTATCATCAATACTGACTATATCAAAAATTTCCTGTAGATGTAAGTTTTCCAAATCACGTTGAAATAAATCCACATCAATTCTACGCAAAGCCCTGTAAGTAATACTTGTAACTATAGGTTTCAAATGATTAAATATTAAATTACAATATGTTAAAAAATGATTCGACACATGAACGTCTTTCACACCATACTCAACAATATTATCAGAATTATAAAAAATTAAGTCAATCAAGGAAAATGAAGTACCTATCCGAGTGAGTAGGTTCTGAAATAATCTGCTCCATATTGAAAACTCTTGTAATATTTATTAAATTAGACGCATTTCTTGAATTTAACTGAAACATATTAATATTAAAGTCTCCAAAACACAATATTAGATCTTCCTGAGCATAAAAATTAGCTAATATGTCTTCAAAATAATTAAGAAATTGTGTGCAATCAGTATTGGGTGTTCTATAAATAGTACCAATAATAATGGTTTTCCCAAAAATATCTAGCTTTATCCAAACATGCTCAATAAAATCTTTATATTCACTTAAAATTACTCAATATTTTAACCCGTTCTTTATATATAAACCAACTCCCCCAGCATGCCCCGGTCGATCTTGCCGCACAAATGAATAACACACAAATAAGTGCATGCCTTATTTCAGAAACACGAAAATGAGCAACTTTTATGAAGCAATTGCTTCTGTTCTGTTCTGTTTTCGAGAAAATTAATTAAGAAAAATAACCATAAATGTAAGCCGACCCTGTGCGTCTTGTGCACGTGCGTTGGGTGTTGCAGTATTACTGAGGTGGCATATAAAACTAACGATTATCATGTAGAAAGGGTTCACGCATTAAATAATAATGATTTTCAGCCTCGTATGGAATTTTCATTCCAAATTCTGATATTTTGAGACGATACATTTCATCAAACAACTTGTTGATCCTGCGAATAGTAATATAAGATAAAATTTTGTTCTGGTGCCGCTCATTAAAGATTTCTACAACTTCTCTAAAACTATGGAAATTTTCACCCCTTAATCTAACAATCTCTATTTTTTTCCTGTAAAGATAAATATTCTGCCATAACTGCAAGAGATTCTTAATTTATAACACTAACTAGTTTATCAGTAATAGTTAAACGTCATCAAAATGTGAACAATAAAGCTGCCATTTTTTATTATAGCCTACCTGTATTATTTCAATTATTGTTTAAAACATTGTTTAAAATAATTTCATTCATTCAGTGTAATTGGTAAACTAGTCATAACGTAAGAATATCTTCCAATTATGGAAGAATATTTATCCCTACAGAATAAAAGCTGTGTAAAGTATTTTTAAAATTAAGAAAATTAGAAAAATATGTTCTACTTGAAGGAGGTTAGCTGGAGAAAATGAAAATTTAATTTAGATTGTTTTGCAATTTTTTGTTTAACATCTTAGTATTTACATAATTCTTTACTTACTTTGTACGTTAATTATTATTTTTACTATGGCCGCAATTAAAAGTGTTAAATTTATGTGTTTGTATTTTTTCTTTGCCCGATTGACACTTTCATGGCAATTTGTCGATCAAATTTGGTATATGGGTATTGACGAGTGTTGAATCGTCTGGTAATATTAACTTTTTTGATAAAAAATGCCTAATACCACTTTCTGGAAAAAGGACCCTTTTAAAAAATCGTAGTAGGCCAGGTTTTTGTCACATCAATAAAATGATTAGTAGAATATAACCTCCTTTCAGTATACTATTTGTAAAAAAAATGGCTTGCAAAAAATCCACAGCTTTCTCACATTTTCAGAGGTGTTAATCTGCTGACAATTAAATGTCAGTAAAATTAAAACAATAATATCAAAATTACCGTAAAACACAACATGTTAACAGGTTGGTCTATTCAACCAATCAGCGATAGCTTTATCTCGAGCGTAGACGTAATGGTTTGCCATTGTAAACGAATTAGTAATAATGGTGAAGCCAAGATTTAGGGCATATTCGTTACCAGCACCAGTTGTGCATTGTTGGATTGTTTCGGAGGTCACGTGGCTTGTAAACATTTATGAAGGCTCTGTAGGGGAACAAAAGGCAAAACGGCCCCCGCAGGCAAAACGGTCCGACTCATTTTCCGACACTAGTAGTGACATCCATCGGTGAGTAGCATAAGCAGATTCATCAGTACGTACACAAAACGGGGCAGTTGGTTATCGACCGGTAAAAGCTGTAAAGACGTCGCAGACAAGGTAAGTTACTTTTCAGGCTTTTTATCTAAAATCGCGAATAATCTCTTATTCTGTATTTTTTTTCTCGTAAATCGTAAATTAAAAAGTGGTTGCATCTTATCATAGCCATACATGCGTTATCAGAAAAACGTGTGAGCGCTTTTGTTTCTATTGACATAACCTCACACCAATTGTGTTTCCGTGCACCTGGCGCCAAGGCAAAACGGTCCACTTTGGACCATTCTGCCTGAGGGTGGTCCGTTTTACCTTCATATGCATTTAACCAAATATTTTTATTTCCTATTTTGTCGCAGATGGTTAGCAACTATAAACGCAAGTCAGACCGACAAAAGTGGTCACCAACATAAATGAAGAAGGCTATTGAAAAAGTTTTCACCGGAGTAATGGGTCTTAGGAGAGCTTCTGCTGCATACAACGTCCCTAAAATTACGCTAAGACGAAGAGTTCCATAGTATTTTCTCTAAACAACAGGAAGAAGAGCTGGACTCACTACCAAAGATCTGAGGTCTCTAGCATATGACCTTACCGAGAAAAATAATGTACACAATTTCGATAGGGGTACAAAAATGGCAGGCAGATATTGGCTGAAAAATTTTTAACACGAAATCCTGATCTTAGCATGCGCAAACCAGAAGCCACCTCAGCCGCTAGAGTGAGTAACTTTAATAAAGTTGCTGTTGGGAAATGTTTCTCGTTGTTGTTAGAAGTCATCGACATATATAAATTGACACCGGCATGACAACAGTGCCCAAGTCATTGCCAAAAATAATTGGTAGAAGGTAAAAAGCAAATCGTCTTACTGACATCGGCCGAGCGAGGCCAGTTAGTGACTGTTGTTTGCTTAAGTGCTGAGGGATCTATATGCCACCACTTTTTGTGTTTCCATGAAAGCGGTTCAAGCCTGAATTAATGAATAATGCTCCTCGAGGGTCATCAGTGGAATGCCATGAGAGTGGTTGGATACAAAAAGACATTCTCAGCAAATGGTTCCAAAAGTTCATCACTTTTTCCAGAGCGTCCAAAAACACGCCAGTTTTACTTCTGTTAGATGGCCACACCAAAAATTTAGATGTGATTAATTTGGCCTGCGTTAATGGTGTGCATATTATTTCGTTCCCTCCGCACTGCACGCATCGGCTCCAGCCACTTGACGTGGGATTTATGAAATCGTTATCAACATATTATTCGGATGCCGCAAAGCAGTGGCTGAGAACAAATCCTGGACGTATTATAACACAGTTCCAAATTGCTGAACTGGTTGCGAAAGCATTTGAAAAGCCAGTCACCATACCCACTGCACATAACGCTTTCCGTGCAACAGGAATTTGGCCACCAAATCCTGAAATTTTTACAGATGCTGATTTCTTAGCACTGATATAACAGAAATAAATGAAAACTAGCAGGAGACGCAACAAATAGATGAAGCGCAACCATCTTGCTCGAAATCAACTGTTGTTCTAGATGCTGCTGCTGCTCGGGAGGAAATTAGCGACTGATGATGAACCACTTGCTAATCTTCGTCGAGGCTCTAACCGTTATTCCCCCAACGCAAGCAGTTTTCTAATATCCCCTTCACAAATTGTGCCAATTCCAAAAACCAACCAAAGAAAACGAGTTACAAAAAGGAGGGGCAAAACTGCTATCATTACCTCGTCGCCATATCGTCACGAATTACTCGTAGAAGAAATACAGAATAAGGGAAATCAAGTAAAAAGGAGGCTTGATTTGGATGAAAGTAGGGGTGTTAAATTTTCGGATAGAACAACTCTTACGATTTGTACTGCTTCCATTTGTACTCGGAGTCTACAGAAGGATGGATCCAGTGCCCCATTTGCAGTCAATGGGCACATTGCTCGTGCGCTGGTGTCGAAGCTATTTATCAGTGTGAAAACTATTCATAAATATATGTTTCTCAATGGTCCATTGTGCATTCCTGTTGGTGCCATTGTGCCTTCATGTGAAGGCATAATGGACCGATAGAGGCTTTTTCTATTTATTTTTTTGTGTTTCATCCTTAATGGATTTTTTGTTTATATGCTATGAATATGTTAGAGAATATATTGTTTATTAAGAATGGTATTTTATTTTTGGAATAAAATTTATAACGTTGACCATACTTCTTGATTTTGTTAGTGTTGCCATTTTGTCTTCCATTCCCCTACTATTCTCTAAATTTGAGTGCATAAGAGTTTTTAATAGGCAGCATTTAAGTTAAATATTTATTATTAATTTATGAAAAACGTTTTTACTTGCCTTTATCCAAATAGAATCAGGATCATCATAACCAATCCATTGATTTTCTGAATACTTGTAGGGATTTTTTTGTTCATCATCCCAAACTCTGGTCCAACTGTCGTAATTTTCACAAATCTAAAAAGTAGTTTTAATCAATATGAATTTGTTAACTAGCAGGATGTGGTGCTAGGAACTTTTATAATGAGGATCTATTATGAAAATATGTTTCTAACAAATTGTTTTCTTTTAATTCCTGAAAGTGTAATACTTCAACGAACTATAAATATGTGTAAAAGATTTATTTATTGGTATTATGAACTTACTTGGCGATAACTTGGGGCTCCGTCTCCGACACCGATCGTGTCAAACGGAGCATGAAGTCCATGTTGATTAGGATCAGACAGCGTGAAAGATCTTCCGTAAAAGGCTAAACCCATGGCCAGTTTATCTTTGGAGGCACCAGCGTTCACCCAGTTGTTACCAGCTGCAGCCAAGTTCAAGGTGTTTCTTTCCCACTCAGTCTCTACAGAAGAAGCATAAAGAGGAGAACATTGGCCGGTATATTCACTCCAGGAACCATACATGTCATATGTCATCACGTTGATCCAGTCTAATATCCTGAATAGAAAGTTAAGCTAGAGATAAATGTACGCATCGAGTGGCTGGAATATATTTTTACCTAAGGATCAGGTTTTAACAAATGTTTTTTATAGAGTAGGCTTATTGGATTATTTATATTTGTACTGTTATACTTACTGGTATTCTACAGCGAATGTTTACTTGAGTACATATTCGTAATTTGTTGTTAATTTTGAAAATTCATGTCAATGAGAGAAGTAGGAGATTAGTTGCTCGTCCTCCTAGTGAGGTGAAAGTTGAATTAAATTAGGAATTGTCTTAAATCATGCGCCTTATAAAATTTGGAACAGTTACATGACAACTTTCAGTGACTGTATGGGAGGCAGAATAGAAATGATCAAAACAGTTACATTTTCCAATGACATCTATCAGAACCCTTGCTGGAGAAAGTCTGGGATCTCTTCTTGATTAACACCTGTTTTTTTTCTGATAATAGATACTCAATATAAAATTATAAGTTGCACCTACAAATATGTAAGAACAGTTCTCAAAAAAACTAACATCTTTTAAGAAGAAGATAGTGCAAGTATTGGAGAGAATTTAAAAACAGCATATATACAGTGTGTCACAAAAACGATAAATCAACACTGGTACCTCAGTTACTAAGTTAGAAAAAAATTGTAAAATATTACTTCAAATATATTCTTCACTCTGTTTTTCTTTTATTACCTATAGATTTTGAGATATTCGAGGATAATTTTTACTTTCAATGGACATTTCTGGTTTATATTTCCTTGAAATACCTGTATAGATGTCATAAAATGTACTTACTCATTCATTTCTGGAACATTGTACGCGTATCCATTTGGATCGGCACTAGCAGCAACAGTCAGAAGCCAACCATGTTCGTTGAAGGCACTTCTTACTTGTCGAAGTAAGTTTATGTAGTTTTCCTTAAGAGAACAACAAAGTAAGTAATGCAATCAAAGTGGATTTAGTTATAGGATGTTACGATGTGAATTTTTATAATGTGTAAACAACTGATCATAAATACCATATAAAATATCATATTCATAAGTTTCATCTTTTAAAAATTCGATATGAATATCACTGTTTGTCGTTCAAAACCATTACCTAGAACTATATTTTCTAATTGCAGTTTTAAATAAAATTTTGTTTCAAACAAAATTTTAAATTAAAATATTTGAAAAATTTGAAGTACGAGATACTCTTGGTTTGCAGGCTTCTATGGTAGTTGTCAATAGTTGAATTGCCATACTCTTAGAAATTTGGGATAGTCAATACATTAAGGTAATAATCTGCTACTTGCTAGGAGGAAATAGAAAAATTTCCTGTAACTCGCTAAATTAAAAGCCGAATTTGAATATCCTCAAGTAGGTCCTGACTGACGGATAATAATATTTTTTTTTATTAATTTTGACCATCTCGTTTCAAAAACTACTTCTGCCTACTTAAATAATTATTATTTGAGTTAAATATTAACTAATTTTTAATTACTATTATATTTTAATCCAAATTCAGACTTAATCCTGGATTAAACACTACGGTGCAAACGGGCATTATTGATACAGGATAACAAAGGATAAACAGGGATAATTAACAAATTTCAAAAATCATCGGTTGATGTTTTAGAAAGTCGTTACTACTTCATTAAGAATAAATAACAAATTAACAACTACAATAAAGCAAACAGTATAAAAAAAACGTTTCAAATATTAATTCTAAATTGCACACCAAACGTAAATTTTGGAAAGATAAACAATAAGTTACACTCTAACATTCTTAATCAGTTGTTATTAGTGATTAAATGTTCCTAAAAAATTCGCGAAACCCTTGGGAGGAGATGGCGGACCCCCAGAAGCCCGCGGACCACAGATTAAGAACCAAAATCCTCTACTAAGTAGAAGATTTTGAAATCAGGTTTTTATTTTTTTGCTCGAAAATAGCAGCAGAAACGAAAACATGGCAAGAGATAAAAAAGTGTCTAAATTGAACAGGGAATTAAACCCTCTAAAAAAGACCAGTGACGTACCGGAAGAAAGCGGGGCTGAAAGGTGGCCCGACCCCATTTAAAGTTATCACCCTGTAGATTGTGACAACTATTATTAAGGGCTAATGATGGAGGTAACCTAAATTAGCCTACGTTTCAAATTTGAGCTACATATATCAAAAACTGTGGGATACAAAGAAAAAACAGAAAAATTATTGAAACTTCAACACCCTGTACTATTAAGCATTTACGGACATATGCTTATATAAACTTTTTTACTTAGAATTATGCGCAGATTCACCCCCCCTGAATATTATTAGTATTATTATGAAACACCCTGTATTCTAAGACAAATGTTGAACAATAATGAGAAGGATATTTAAAGAGAAAATGGAGGAATATGTGACAACAACCTGCCTACCTTATACAAATATAAGGATGTGTAGATAGGGACAGTATTTTCCATGTATACAGGGTGTCCGGTAACTACGGGGAAAAATAAAGGGTTATATAGAGCAGGTCAAACGAGTGCTAGAACTTCATATTCACTTTTTACCTAGGTGCTATTGTTGAGGAGTTATTGTCACTCAAAGTAAGAAGTTGAAAAATGAATATTGCCCATAATTTCTAAAGGGTTACTTTGATTAACTTGAAATTTAGGGGATCAAAGCAACTCATTCAAATGTATCTTTGTACATTTAAAATTGAATCAAATATTTTTTATTATACAAAGACGGTCGAAATTATGTTCTAAAATTTACACAACTTTGACAGAGCTGTCAAATTTGACATTTCGCCCTCGCAGGCAGATAGCCCTATTACTTTTCTACAAAAAAGGTATACTTTATGACTTCTGAAAAAATGAACGGTTGTCAAGATAATTAAATTTTTGTATTTTGCATCTAGCCACAACCGGGGACACAACCCAACAGAAAAAAGTTAAGAATGAAACATATGGATTAAATGAGGTTACTTCAGTAAATGCTCGATGCATCTAGTTCAATGCACTTCCTTATTCTTATAAGATTATTTTGTTGCACTCTAAATAGCATTTGTGGATTCTGTTTAATTTCATTACAATTATGTTCTATTCTTGCCATCAACTCTTCTCTTGTGTAAACCGGAGTTGAATACACCAATTCTTTTAGGTAACCCCACAAGAATAAGTCAAGGGGTTAAGATCTGGTGACCTAGGTGCCCATAAAACTCTTATTTAGCCATTCAAGACAAACACCAGCAAAGATTCATAGTTAATGTATGGGCAGGAATAATCGATAACCAATTAATAGGCCCCTTTTTCTTACCGGACTAGACTAGACTAAACGGTGCCCGATATTTGAATTTTTTACAACATGATCTAAATCTACTACTAGCAAATGTGCCATTGCAAACAAGACAGGAGATGTATTTCATGCACTTCAGTCGTGAAGTTAGAAATTACCTCAACGCAACATTTGGTGATGGGTAGATTGGGCGAGGCGGACCACACTTATGGGCACCTAGGTCACCAGATCTTAACCCCCTTGACTTCTTCTTGTGGGGTTACCTAAAAGAATTGGTGTATTCAACTCCGGTTTATACAAGAGAAGAGTTGATGGCAAGAATAGAACATCATTGTAATGAAATTAAACAGAATCCACAAATGCTATTTAGAGTGCAACAAAATAATCTTAAAAGAATAAGGAAGTGCATTGAACTAGATGGAGGACATATCGAGCATTTACTGAAGTAACCTCTTTTAATCCATATGTTTCATTCTTAACTTTTTTCTGTTGCGTTGTGTCC